CTACAGTGCCAACTAGTGGCTCAAATATCAAGTGTAACTTTTGACATGTTAATGGCTGCAAAAACGCATTAAGGGGGCATGTTGTCTTCATGTCTTCTTTGTCCTCGTGTTGTTCGGGCTTCTTAAACCTATTAACTAGTCTAGATCAACTAGCCAAAACCCAAGTTTTAATGCAACCGATTCATTTGACAAGAGTTAGAAACTAATGGCGACGCAGCACTTGTATCCTGCTAGTGCATTGCACTCCGCTATAATCTAGTAGGCACAGGCTTCGTGTTATCTGCTCTGGTGCGCGTCTTCAACTTGGCACGCTATTGGCGGCCATCAAAAAGCTGCGCGACTATGCCACAGATGTCATATACACTCAGATGATGACAGCAACGGAAGTAGGCAAACTGAATTTTGGAAAGGGTGAATAATTTTGATGTCTAGCATTTCTTTCGATGTTACTAAAAGTATATACACCAAGGACAGTCAAAGCGACACCTCTTTCAGCGTGCTTATACTTTTAGTGTAACTGCAGCCAATGTGCTCACCTTGTTGGTTGTTTATGAATATGAATGAACTGCTACAGTGTAGTGAAGTATCAGATGGTGATAGTGGTTGAAGCAAGCAGAATGAATTTTGAAAAGGTGGATAATTTCAAAGTCAAGCATCTAGTTTGACGTGGCTTGTAGCATACGACTGATACCTGCGCGATACAAACCAATATGACGGAAAAGTACAGTAAAGTGAAATAGCCCTTACACCATAATGTGCCCCTATTCACGACTGTTCCCAACAGTGCTACCCTCAGGAGCCGATTATTTTTTAATGAGCAGGCAACGATGGTACATCAACCATTTTTTCAAACTCTTTAAATACTGGAGAGCATGGTCACACATGTATTAAATGTGGCACAATAACAAACAAGTTCCCAAAAACCAAAACGGCAGCACAAGTGGGGTAAACCGCCTCGACCGCACCTGAGTCCCTTTGAATGGCGCGAGTTCTTAGCGTGAACAATTCAATTTTTCTTTATTTTTCTTTGTCCTTTGGCGTAATTCCCACTGAACTATAGACAATCCAAAGTATCGGTTCCAGGTCGATTCAGACAGAACAGCAGAGGCAGATAAGAGCAAACCAGACATGAATAAAGCCGGAGGCTGTGCAAGTCGAGATCGACCGTATTCTTCGTTCAATGAAACTTTGCGCCCGTAACGAAGCCAACGCGAAACTACCGTTCTAATTAACACCTCGAACAGCATGGCTTTGATGAGAGCTGCCAGGTGACCGCCCTAGCACGCACCGCACGTCCCAAGATCCCAATAGTTACCGGCGGCTAGTTGGGTTCCGCGAGGGGTGACCAAACCATACCCAACGCGCGCTGGTGTCAATTCTCGACCGATTCGCGGCGTTTCAGGTGTCATTTTAACGCGTGGCAATCGGCTGTTGGACAAAAGAAACCGGGTCGAGTATTTGTCCGGCTTCGTGCAATTTTTAATCCGCTTATTGTTCCGCATTTATTTGTATAGCCTTCCCTCTCCGCCCCCACCACACTCGTATCCATTGAAACGGAGGAGCGGTCAGCAGCGCGCGGACTGCGAGTGTGCGGTCAGTCGCTGTCGCGTTGCGACACAAGCGCATTCCGATCCAGACCAGAAAAAGCAGATAACGCACGCGATGGCATTAAAGGGACCCTATTTTTTTTTTCTTCTCTTTAATGCTGCCCTTTGCGCAGGGTATAAAACAAGAAATGAAGGGATAGGCGTGGTAAGGGTGCCCCCTCCACCTCCTCCCCTTGGCCAGTGTTTACCGGGGAGGGGGGGGGGACGCGATATTTTGTTTTTGAAACGTCCGTACGCCCTGCGGACTTTGCGGCACGACCGATCGCGGCCGACCGCGTGCAATTCGGGCCTCAACCCGCACGTAAAGTGAGCCAACTCACCGTGCGGAGCGTCTCTTGTAGCGATTTTAATTTCTTCCAGTATGATGGGGGCCATGGTGTAATGGCACCCGGAAGTAGGCACACCGGGCGCCACCTGTGTTGCGGCGGGAGAAGCCGCTTAAAACCGGGCGACCGAAGCACGGCGGAGACTGCGCGGGAAACGCGCGGACCGCGTTCCGAAAGTTTCCCAATGGAGAAGCGGCATGTTTGGCGTCTTTCGGGCTACGGCTACGCTTTCGACTCGTGATGCGCGTCCCGCCGTAATGGCTTCGGATTCGGAACGATCCGGACGAAACCGCAACATGGCGTCGCACCATTTCCGGTCTATCTAGACGACTTTCCCGGCGTTTCGGAACTACCCTCGGTTTCGACGGGCCGTAGGAGAAAAATAAATAAAATGCCCGAACGGATTTAAAGAGACACGATCGTTCGTGTGTACGAACGCGCGGCAGCAAATGTGCGTGTGTGTGTCGTTTTGTACGTTTGTTTTGTTAGTTTCCGCGCGGCCGTGTCGCATTGTTTGTACACAGCGGGGGAGACGGGGATGGGTGCTGCGGTGGGCAGTGGGTGGCTGGGACGCAAGACGCGAAAGCGTGTCAGCTTGAATCGGCACCTGCTCCCGCCACGCCCCTCCGGCACATGCGTCGTTACACTCGAGGCCATATCACGCGCTCGCTCCTCGCCGCCGAACTTCGCTGGTCGTGCTAGCCCGAAAACTGAGCGCAGATCACACACATTTTGGTTTGTTAATTAAATGACGGAAACAGAGATCAGTCGGTTTGTCATATGATTAGCAGACACATTTTCGATTAAATGATGTGTGTATGTATGTATGTACGTATGTATGTATGTGTATAAATATATATATATATATATATATATATATGCTGCGAAGAATCGTCTCAAACGATATGTTTAATTTGCCTAAACCGTTTTGCGAAAAGGCATACCACCTTCAGATGCCTGACCTGGCGACCTGGCCTCCAGCACGCTCGTGTGCCTTCCGTCGTGCTTCTTAACTGCGCATGCGCGCTCGAGGCTCAGGAGGCGCCATCTAAGGTACAAGGCTCGTGCTAGACGCGTGACAGCAGGAACTCTGTCAGCATATTCGCGCGGTGTTGGCTTGACCGTATGCGAAAAATTTAACGCGCTCCTAAAGCGGGCGACTCGTTCCGTTGCGTCACTCGCCCGTTTATAGCAGTCCTTTTGCAATAATTGTGGTCGAGCAAATTGTTGTAACGCGCAGACGCTGATGAAATAGCCGCGGGAGGAAGCGGCCGTCGCGTAGACTTGCGCTTGCAGAACGGAATCCTTACGACGCGCTTACAATTTCCTTTGGTAGCTAGTTCAATTATAAGCGCAATTAACCAGCTGTTGCGGGACGAAATGAAGGGCGGATTGATTGGAAATTTACGCGGCAATAAAAAATAGGCATGTCCCCCCCCCCCTTCTTTTTCCCCCCTTAAGAAAAAAAAATCCTGAATTACTTCGTATGAAATGGCACATCAGCAACTGAAACAGCCCAAAGGAAAAAATGAATGACAAAAGAGCTAGCTAGCTTTTTTACGTTAGTGTTGCTGTCCTTCAAAGACAGCTCAAAAAATGCCTAAACTCAAATGAAAAAAAAAAAAATAAATAAAGTTTCAAACATGTGCAATACACTACTTTTAGGTATGTCTGATGGTGTCAGGTATTAGACACTACAACAGTAATCCAGATGCCCAGCTGCTGTACTCCTCACCTCAAGAAAGAAAAAAAACTGTGCAGTTATTTTGCTGCGTGAAGCAGTTCTTGCAAGACTTGGATGTCAGAGAACAAAAGAAATAAAAGACAGCTTTTGCATTTTAAACATGTATGTCCCGATAAAGTGTCCCATAACGAATCTTCACATAACACAGAAAATTAGTAACGCACTGCATGGGGTCAACACCTTTTTACTAAATCCGTTGCAAGTCAACAAAAGCAGCACAAGCTCCTCCCACAACGCCCTTTACACTATTCACTTTAGCAGAGCAAATGCTGGAGCGAAAGTGAGTTGAGAGGAGTACTACCAACCGTGAGGAGCAGAGAGCTTTGTGGGAGGGTATTGTCCAGCTATTCTTAACCTGCCATTTCATTGCAACAGCTGCAGTTATGTAAATTCTAAGGTGCTACCCATGCAATGCATACACAACAAAAACAATGAATTCTAACAACATGTCTGCCGATCAGAAGGGAGCAAAAAGAGAAAGCTCACCCGTGGACATTTGTGCATTGTGTGGAGAGAAACAAATTTGAGTGAAATATAACCCTTACAAAAAGTTCGCTAAAGCACATAAAGTGAGAAATAACGAAAAATGATATTAAACCGCAAAAACATCCCTTCATAAAGGACCCATGATGGCAAAACAGTAATGGCAGCCAGACTCCAGTCAAATAGTCAAGTTTGAGACATTCTGTGGAAGGGATAAGCCTCTTTTGGAAATGTGCCCTATTAAAACTTAAACTGTTTTACCATTTTTCTTGCTGTTAGTAACCGTGACTGCAAGCAGCTACCACCAGATAACAAGCATAAGTAAATACACCCCTTACAAAATCCCCACCAGACAAAATTGGCGGTCATAATATTTTGGACACTGCTTTTGACATAGCGCCTTGCATACATAGATACCCTCATGAGCATCTTCGAATGGTACTAGACGGTGCACACGTTTCAAAGGGGTCTGTTTCACAATTCATGAATCGTTTGAACTAAGGAACCAGTATTTACCACTTTTATTCCGAATAAATGGCACCGAGTAAATGAAACTGGGTAAACAAAGCGGAGATCATTCGAAAGGTAAAAACTCTTGCTGCGAACTTCCTTCCCCAAATAGCATATTCTCTGCAGAAAAAAACTGATTATACTTTTCACTACTCTCAACAGAGGTGCGATCAACCTTCAAAATCTCTGACCAAGGACATGTTCTACCTGGTAACAGTTGTGCCAAAGAAACATTAAATTGTGAGAGCGTTATGGTTTATTCAAATGGTACACAATAATGAAATTTTCATCATGTACCATTGCCAGAAGTAGCAGAGGCTTGCAACAGCATACTAAAACTTTTAATGAACCTTCTTCTCACACATCCTTTATTCAAGTTGCCATATGTGTACAGCAATTGTCAGACATAAAATCTCACACACAAAAGAATGTGAGTGTGTGTGATAAACACACGGCAATTTAAAAACTTAATCAAACACATAGTCACACCTTACAAACTGTTTCGAGCGGACACAAATAAAGTATGTACAGGGTAGGGCACCTGCCCACACTCAGCCTTGGACAAGAATGTACATTGTTCCACTAAAGAAGCACTCCTACATAGGAAGCTGGGACACATGGCAGCTACCCATCAGAATGCTCTTTACACGCATTGCATCACTCACTGGGAAAGATGAGTTGATAAAATCACCAATTGAACAAAACCTGTATCTGGGAAATGTCAAAATCTGACCCTTGCATGCTCTCAGAAAGGCATGATCACACACAAACTGCACCCTTGATTAACTGTTCACCAACCAACAATGCAAAGCTGCACACCAGAGCTGAATAAAAAGTTGATGCCTTACTAAACGTCCATGTTATGAACGTGCTTATACAGTGATGTCTCGTTAATATGGACACCTCCGTTCCCACAAAAAATCGTCCATAATGCGAGTTGTCCATATTGAGACAAAAATGCATGTATTCTCCCGGTTGGTCCCCGAAGGTGGTGTCCATGTAGCAGGGTATCCATATCAGCAGGGTCCATATTAACGAGACATGACTATATTTGCAATGTTGGTACAGCTTGGGAGTTTGTGCAACCATGCTGCACATTATATTGCCTCGTGGCAGAAAGATTTCAGCTAGCAGTCATAAGTACCGTAAAGAATGGCGGTGACAAGAGTGTCTCAGCACGGTTCATATCTAGGGTGGCACAAGCGAACCCGACATTCTGAAACAAACCGAGAAAAATTGGCACCTGCTCAAAGAAAGTTCAAACTCTCACAGAATGCGCAACGAGCAGTTCAGTCTTGGCGTGTGAAATTTCAAGGGATAGTTCTCCTTCTGTAAAAATAGAGAGCAACAAACCTGCTAAAGTCAATGTTGGGCACGTTCGCAGAAGACTGAGTTAGTGGCGAAATTAACTTGTGTCGCCACCCCCCGATAGGCGAAGCAAGCAGACGACAGAGTGCGTCGTCTGCTCCCTGCCCCCATCAGGAGACGGTGCCGCAAGTAAATAGCCTCGCTGACTTGGTCGTCTGCAAATGCAACCAACCTTGACTTTGGCAAGTTTGTTGCCCTCACTTTTTTCAGGTAGAGAACTAACTACACCTTGAAATTTCACACGGTAAGACTGTCCCGGTCAGTGCACATTCAATGAAAGTTTGAGGTTTCTTTGCACAGACACCAATTTTTCTGGCTCGTTTTACAGCGTAAGGTTCGCTTGTGCCACTCTAAATATATTCGAGTGTTGATCTCCCGGAGAATGCAGCCCCCTTCCAATTTCTAAAAAATTTTGTTGTAGTATTACTTAACAAATAGGTCAACAAACAAAGTTTTAAAGAGAGAACAATGGTACTTAGGGTTGTTCTTACACTAAAGTTTAAGCAAGATTGCTAACAAAATGAATTCGGCATTTCCATGAGCAACGTTTGGTTTGTTTACTGAGGTTAAGGTCACACACAAGCTGTTGATCACTGAACCCCATTGGACAAGTCAAAAAAATTAGTCTTCCTTGCATCGAGTGATTCCTGACTGGTGAAGATGAGTGGACCCCTCATTTTCTCTCGTAACAGGTCAGGTAGGAGTGTTACGGCACTTCAACATGGCATGCAATTATGGCTCGTCGTCCAGAACGGTTGTCTCTCTAGCTCCTTTCTGCAATATATGAGAGGGAGGGGGGGTACATTGAAGGGCCAGCTGTGTGAAGGATGTAATCTCTGGGATGATGAATGTCTATGACAAGTCAACTTCGGTTTCGAATTTGGCACAGAGAAATGGCGAGGGCCTTGAGGAGGACAAGTACTCCCTCGGGAACAGTATGTGCTACAAGGCGGTTCACAAAATGCCAACCTAAGTTTACCTGCAAATGCTATGCGTTCAAAGAAAAGAGGAGATGCTTATTAATGATTGCCACAAGATGTTCAGTTAGAAATTTGCTCGTTAAAGGCCCGTTCACAATCTTGCAACCGAGTACGACCGAGAGAGACGAGACCTGTCGAAACCTATTAAAATTTTTTAGGACGAGAGAACACACTGGCATCCTGGTGCCATCTATGCGGTGACCCTGGAACTGCATTTCACAAGAACCAAGGTTTTGCAGGATTTCCGAGGTCAGATGCGCGTAATACCTATAAGAAAGGCTCGTTTATAACATTGACAAAAGTTTTTTGAGCCAAGAAAGAAAGGATAATGCGCAAGGGAAATAGAAAATATGCCAGACCACCAGGTTTACACTGCTACCCAATAGATAACGCCAGTGTGTCCTCTTGTTGAACAAGATATTAAGAGGTTCCAAGGCACCCGGTTTTCTAAAAGGTCGCAAGTGTGTGAACGGGCCTTAATATGAGAAACTACTAAATAAATCGCATTTGAAACTCGACAAAAAAAAAAAAAAAGCTTGATCTGAAAGTTATGTTGCGGTATTGGCATTTCTTTGCCTATCAATGGAAAATTAGCAGCCATTAAAATGTGCCTCCGAGGTCTAAGTTGTTGTCACTATAATGCGGCAAAGAGTAGGCTCAAACACCGGCAGTACATTGAAATGGACGCATTTGCGAACATGCTTTAATTCTGACTATAAGCGACTTATTTTGTGGCTTCCAATAATGCTGTGCAATCATGTAATGAGGACATGCCTTTGTGTTTACGGATTATAAAGTTAATTAGTATTCACACTTAATTAAAAACTCAAGCGTCCCAAACACCACGCGTCCACGTCTTTCCTACGCAGTGCGTAACGTTTACAGGAAAACTTCCAATGGCATTTCGTGAAACTCTAGTGATTGGACGCAGCACAGTGTACTCCCGTAAGGTTCATACAAGTGCGGATATTTGACTCCTGCATTTGGCCCCTTAGCGAAACGGTGAACTCTAGAACCTTTTTTATTGTGAGCAAATCAATATGTTCGAAAATAAATTTTCTAGAAAAAAAATGTTTCTTTAGGAGTTCTGGAACGAGCTTCTACTTTGGACGTTGATGCCAAAATGGAGGCAGTTTTCGGGACCGCTGAAACGAGTCGCGCGACGAAGATAGTGCTCCAATAATTTTTGTATTTGAGAGGGGAGGGGGAAAAGTTTGTCTCGCAACGTAGGTACCCTTGCAGACAATATGAGCCGAGACACCAGACCCGGCCTTTTTCTACATCTGCGGGCCCCGCAAGCTCTGCTATCTTTCAATTTCTCAAAAAGTCAGAAGTACGGATCTCAGACATGCGTTCCATTCCTAAATCGCATCACACCGTTTTCAAAAGCCAGCAGGTACAGTGAAGAAACACAAAGGACTGTTTCGGCTCATAGTGTCTATGATAGTACACGAGCTATCCACATAATTAGGGGAAACATAGGCCTATGTTTCAAATTGTTTTGAAAAAATTTCAATTTTCAAATTTAAGGTTTTTGGTTTTAGGAATTATTTATTCACCCTTACAGTAAATTTGATAACCGTACGCCAAACAGTTATGTTGATATAAAGTATTTTCAACAGATTGTGAGGCAGTAAAAAAGTAAAGGAGTTCAATGTTTGAATGCATTTTTCTCAGTTCCACTTTTTTGCCGCAAATTTCATGCGGAGGAATCTATTGTTCGAAGGTAAAAGTATTCTGACACCGCTATCAAAATGTCTCTGAACTTATATTTACTGGGGGATAGCGCTATCCACTTTACCTTGTTTTAAATTGAAGTCCCAACTGAAAAAAAAGCTAAGTTTTCAAAAATTTACATAGGACAGAAATGCATCTCATTTTTCGAGGTAATAATTCTTTCTAAATTCATATTTGAGTTTGAAAAACAAAATAGTCCAAAGTTCCACATCCCCCACTTTATATTCAAGCTGTCCAAATGGTGCTTAATAGCTTCATTTGCACATCATAGATCTCTTAAAGAAGAATGACGCATCTTCTTATGCAGGTATCTAAAATTGTCTTAAAGAGTTGAAAGTTTGGACAATACACCTACATCTGATGTTAAATCTTCCCCGCACATTTCATTCCGATCACTCGGGTACTTCAGAAGTTAAAACTCTAGCCAGTGTCCCCCCTTAAAAAGAAGATGTTTCTTGGGAGTTCAGTGTCAATTCGACTGACAGCGTTCAAAGGCCGAGCTCGGGCAGTCCATCATACAAATACAGGCTCCAATAGTGAAGATGAAAAAAAAACAAAAAAACAATGTTGTTCTTGGTGCTACAACTTGAGCGGTATGTTGGGCCAGTGCTTGGGCTGCTTTGTGTCCCGGAAGCGGTCGCACGAGAGCTGCATGGCCGTCTCCATGCCGTGAATCATGGCCGCACTCTTGCCGTACAGGCTCTTCATCTCCGCCGTGCGCCGAGACAGCCGCTGTCCGGCCGACATCGGCCCGTCGTTGGGCCGGGGTCCCGACAAAGCTGCTGGCAGAAGGCAAGCGGACAAAGAGAGTGAGAAGACCCACGTAACCCCAACCCCGTCAGTGCTGTACGAGATCTCAGTCCGCACGTAGCAGAAAGGAACAAACTAAGAGCGCATGTCTCGCTTCCGCTTCGGCGCTCGTCCGGTCTGCTGCCCGCCTTTATCCTCGTTTTGCAAGAATGAAGAACGTCTTTGCAAGAATTTGCAAGAATAAACACACTTGCTTGCCCCCCCCCCCCATCGCCAGCTCGATTCACTAAAAGCGGTGTTTCCCAAACCGCGGGTTGCGACCGCAAAGGAGGTCGTGACAGATTCAGCGAGGGGTCACAAAAAAGCTCAGGAGCATAGAAAAAAAAAATCCAGACTTTGCTTTTCTTTTTTGCAGTGGCGCCGACGAAAAGAAAGTGCGGATCGCAAGAGCCGCGGTGCCTGTCGAATAAAATTTCCACCTCAATTTTGTGCATTTCTGTTTATGCACTCATATTGAAAAGCCAGTAGCATCGCGAAAGGCCAGAGATTGCAACCCAATATTTTTGGCAGGCTGCACGTTAATAGATACTCGTAATTTACGGCGCAGAAGAACAGTTCACACTGAAATATGCATGTCAGTAAAAAAGGAACCACTCATTCGGAGCTGGCTGTCAACTCAGTGTTACGTTTGGTCTTCTTCTTGTACACTGTTTGTACATCTATCACACTTTGTTATTTTCTATTTGTTGCTATTGTCGAGATCGGTTATAACAAAGTCAACGGGAACCAGAAATCACTTCGCTATATCCGCTATTTCGTTATAACCGACTTCGGTCAATGAAGTGCAAAAGAGAATGCGAAATCGTGATCGCTCCGCTGTAGCCGCTATTTCGTTATAACTTCGTTATAACCGGTCTCGGCAGTATAGTCAACCACGCTGCGGCTCGCGGCTCCCTCTGCTCCCTACTCCCTACCCCTAACCCCCCCCTCGGCCACCCTCCCAGTGACACAAGCACTTCCCCAAAAAGAGAAATGGAACGCGTTTTAAATCGAAAGACAGGTAGCGGTTTGGTAGTCTTGTGCTACTGCTATCTTACGTGCAGTTGGACTGCTTTTCACTCAAATAGATTGAAAGTTATTTCGAGTTTCATTTACTGCTCTAAACAAAAGTTTGAACCCCCCCCCCCCCCCCCCCGCGGCCCTTGGAAGTTTCGTGGTTTTGTTTGCGGCTCTTAGGCCGGGTCAGCCTAGCCACCCCTGGTATAGTCCGTTGCAACTCAAGAAGGTGGGGCGAGGAAAAGGAAGGCTGGGGAGTAGGAAGCAGACAGAACACTGCAGGAGTAAAGAAACCTCTTCCTCTATTTAAAGTTTTGTCTGCTTCCTCTTCCCCAACCTTCCTTTCTCTCACCCTGTTTTCTTGATTTGCAACTGACTACTATAGGTAAAAGAACTCTTTCTCAGACAAGGTAATAGAAGGTTGCTAACACATTTTTCGTCCAGCTTCACACTGATCTTGGACTCAATAATTTCTCGCGGGAGCTGTCGAAAGTTCCTGCTTATAATAGTGCAGTCTTTTAAGTCTGCTGAGCATCTGCTATCCCACCAAAGATGCCTAAATGTACAAAATTGATTTTTTTTTTTTTTTATCTTGTTGGGGTGTTCTCTTATGCGGTCATTTACACATCTTCTCTTTTGTCTTATGTTTTTTACCACTTAAGAGGGAGAAAGAGTATACTAAATGAATAGATAGCCAACTCGCCCAATCTTCCGTCTCAAGACATAAAAGAGAGTTTGAAAAACACAGTTGTATGTCATATTCAAATTTTCAACACACTTTCGATGCATATTTTCAATATACTTTTAGCGCACCATTTGTCGTAGCAGTACACTGCACATACCCCTAAGGGGTACACACACTCAAGGAATGTCTATGGGGAATCAGTCTGTTGGCTCGGGGAATGATTGTAAGGAGGCAGCACATCACGAACAGAGTATACATCTAAGACCACGTGACTGCGTAGTCTCGTTCGCCCTTTCGCCGCAGCAACGTCAGAATGTCGCTAGACACCATGTGTCCAGGCGTCGCGTGACCGGATGGCAGGTGACAAGGTAGCACGGCCCGAGAGCTCGTGACCACATAATTCGTGTGATTGGATTCTCCATCCTAAAGAGTTTGACAGGAGTCGAAGCATTTGTTTTATTACGCTTCTAGTAAGAGCCCGCTTAATCCATCCGATAAAAACTCCTCGGTAGCCTGTGTGCTTAGTCATTTACTATCTTCCCATCAGAGTTGATTGTAACCAGCCTTTTTATGCATTAGTGCATCGCATTAGGCTGTGGTCTGAAAGCGAAGATCCTATGCGCGGTGCCACGTTGGCTGATAAACGTATTGTCACGGGTGGTGACCAACGAACAATAAATAAACAGGAAGAAATAAACGTTTAATGTGGTGAACTTGTGCCAAAAATAAAAGGGTACAAAAGATAATAACAGAGCGTCGCATGTACATGCGTGGGCTTCTGGAATAATCGGTGTAGAAAGTTCGACGCGTAGAATATTCGGACCTCGAACAAGCAACAGGATTCTCGAATTTACCAGAATACTAGTCTGCAGGAATAAACAAAAAGATGCGTCGCTCCCAGGAATCGAACCCTGGCTTTTCACGTGGAAGCCAGGTACGATAACCGTTAGGCCACGCGCGCGCTGCCTACTTGGCCAGTTGCGCGCGCAGCAGTATCTTGTTCGTAGTGCTCGGACAGAAATACGGTTGAATTAAATCTGCGGTTCGCGGTGGTCCAGAACTTTCTATCTATTGAATGAAACTCTGGGGCTTTGTGTCCTATTGCTTGAATCCCAAAAAGGCACAAGATCATGCAATGCTGCCTACTACAGTATAGACCACTTACAACGTAACCGCTTATAGTGCAGGACCGGGTATAACGCGGTTTTTTTAAACCACCGGTTCACCTCCCATAGAACTCCATGTAATTACATACCGCTTAAAATGCAGGCGCGCGAAGGGAAATACCGGTTATAGTGCGGTTTTTGGCACAGCCCGCCGACCGCGCCGATGACCGGAGCAGCGAGCTCGCTTCCCTGTGCGACACTAGATAACGGCGCTGACGGCGCGAGCCGCAAACTGCACTCGCGGGGCAAGGAGGTTGCTCGAAAATGCGGGGAGAAGCGAAGACAGAGGCTTCAGTTGCCATAGCTACGGAGGGACGCACGCACGAGTCGTTCACGTGCGTGCGTCCCTCCGCTGCGTTGGAAACAAAGAAACAAACAACCGCAACGACAGACCAATCGCAGGTCGAGGAGAAGTGTTCGCGCGCGTTGCATGCCGGTGTGCCGGTCGCGGGCCGGCTGCTTCTATTCCGCAAACAAGGCGTCGGTTGTGATCGTCGTCGTAGACGGCGTGCATCTCATCATTCTGCGTAAAAGCGCTATTCTTGACTGTGAATTTTCGTTGTGTGTCGCTATGATAACCCAGCACGTACTAGAAGGGAAGATCCACCTACTCATGCGGCGATGTCGTGGCGGCGCTCTCAAGACGGCAAAAACGCCCGTGTCGTTGTGTTTGTTTACTTCGACTACAGTGGTGATTTCTAAGCATTTGTGTCCTCGAACACCGCCCGGATTTCTTATTTGGCGCATTTCATGCGTGTGCTCAAGTTCAAGGTATTACTGGCGCGTACCGTAAGAAGGATGCGAATTTTCACGCGTTTTCATCGGCGAAAAGTGATTAGGGTTAGCAATCCTGAACGCTCGCAACGTCCGTCCGCAACCCGCGATGCCGTTAAAAGGCTGCGCCAGGCAAAAGCCGCTAATTTTTTTTAAAATGTGTGACACACTTGAGACATAACTGTACTAGTCTATTGAAATAAAGACTTTCCTCAAACTAAGCTTATTTTTTCATCTAACATAAAATAAATTCTTTTACAAAGGTAAGTTGTCTCATGGCACATATTTTGCCCTGAAAAATTTATGTTTTGGTTATAGTGCGGTAGCGCTTATAGTGCGGATTTTCGCGACTCCCGAGACATACGTTATATGCGGTCTACACTGTAGTAGTAAAAGACGTCACCAGAGACACTTCATACTATTGTGCAGTTTAGATACCACAAGAGCCCACGTCCTTGGTTCGTAGCTATGGCAAAAATGAGGAGGGAGTGTGTTAACTCCTTCCTGACCACGGGAAAAGTAGCAATTTTCGAAGGATTCATGAAACCGCTTTTATTTTCCTAACTAATTTGTGTATGAAGCAATATGACACATCAAAATGTGGCCAATTGTTGTCCTTTCAAAAGGAACAGAGGTTGGTATAATGTGGGATAAAGATGTTAAAATTCAACTTCTTCAAGATATAGCACATGCGGAAGGCGTATAAATGCTGAAACTGCTAATGCTGTGCCAAATTAAACGACAAATAAGAACACTTCCGATATATAGAAAGTAGGCCCCATACCTATGGCTATTACTTCTGAAAGTTACTGTACTCTAACGTTGTCTATTTTTGGTTCGTCGGAGAGCTAGCCTCTGTAACACATGTGCTTTTCAACAAAGGAATGCTTATATTGGTGAAGCACGAATAGTACACCTCACATTCCCTGCAGGGTTCTTTCTTTGTGTTCTACCTTGGTTTTGTGAGAGCCTTGATTTCAGTTCCTTCATGTTTAGCATTTTTGTCCATGTTGTTGGGACCATGAAGCATACACGCCGGCTCGGGACAGCATTGGAAATTGTGTTCCACAAGATTGTGAAACACAAAGCTCCGCACTAAATTTAATTTCTCAACGGCACTTGGGAACCTTCGATCACCGCTAATCGATGGCCTATAAGCGCAATCGGGAAAGAGGTAATGCATTGGAGCTTAGAGTGCATGAGGCGAATGCTCGTGCTGCATGACCCCGGGGACCCTGGGTTCAAGCCCCACTCCTGCCCGTTTCAGTCCAGACGAACATCGTACCGGCCTGCGGTCAAGTATCACCACTGCGTGACGCACAGTAAAGACCCCAGGCTAGTAGTTGTACTGCGCTGGCTAAATTTCTCGTCTACAGCCGAGACACCAGACGCCCATTCAAGCCGACTAACCTCCCGCCATATAAACAAACATGCAACACAATTACATGGAGCAAACAATGTACAATTATAACGGGGTCCGACGTGACCCGACCGAATGGTCAGCCGCCTTTTTTAGGACGGTCACGAGAAACACGCCAACATCACCGACGTACAATGCCGATGGAGCTTCGAGGTAGGGCAGCAAAGTTGAGTAAAAATAAAGTAAACAAAAAACAAAAGCACAATGTCCACGGCATGGCGTCAGTGTTGGCCACGCTTCTATACTCCGTTTCACCTTCAGTCCGAGTGCAGCGGACGCTAGGAGCCATCCCAGCCATTCCAGCGTTGAGAGAGAGTCCTGTGACCTTGAGCTCCCTGTGTCGCTCTGCCCAACCGGCAGGTCACGCGATTTTGTCCTGGCGCTGGATCGGCTAGGGTAGCTCGTGGTGTCCACTGCACTCGGACTGAAGGTGGAACGGAGTATAGGCATCCACTAAATAGTGTATTATGCCGACTCGTCACACGACGGACTTCGATGCTCAATCTAACAAACGTACAGAAGTATTCGGAAGGTGCAATGGTTTTGTCAGATGACGCGGAAGCAAACGGCATTAATATTTCCCTAAGGCTCGCTTCAGACAGAGCAATTTCTCCCAGCAACTTGGTGTCGCAACACCGGCGTTCACGCGCGCAACCAATGGCTACATTTGCCATCGTCATTATTACATTTTATTTTTCTCACACTATTTAGACACACAGTTATGCACCATAAATGTGTTTTTATACCTTTAAATGGCATTGAGAGTACTAACTCATCTTTCTGAAACGGTACATTTTCAAAAACAATCAATTTAAAACCAGCACCGTGTCTTTAGTTGTCATCATCATCAAAACGGGGTGTTGCGCAAAAATACTGCGTCCCCGATTGGCCGCTGCCACATCAAACGTCTCAGAGTTGCTCGTCCGTTTCGAGCCGCACATGCTCCGAGCAATTTGCGTCGCACTAGGGAAACCTAGGGAACAACTCACCAGCAACACCGAAATTGCTGGGAAAGTCACCCGGTCTCAAGCAGGCCTAAGAAAAGTTAAAAGGAGCACACGAAAGAAAAAGAAAAGATATAAAAGAAAGGAATAATAGGAAAATGAGTTTGGTTACATTACAAGGCTGCCGGGAGGTATTTACACCTTTCGGTCACACGACGCCGGCGACGCACCGCAGCTCGCAAAGCCGAAAAACGTGCCGCAGAAGTGAAACAACGATGACTCACTGCTGCCCTCTTCCCTTGCCTTGTCTTCGTTGTCTCTGGACTCCCTGGCTGCTCCTGGAAAGTGGCAAAGAAAAACGATGAGTCGACCACAGTGCTTCGTTCCACCGTAGCTCGGCAGACGGCAAAGTCTACGGTTTCGGTGAGCCAATCGGCGCGTTGGAGGGGGACATGTGACTACTGTAAAAACTTGAGAGAGCGCTCACCTAACATCAAGAGCAAATCGGCTGAAAATATGAAGTGGGTAACTCTCAGTGTACAATCAAGAAAAGTTATAAAAAATTGTTATTTTTAAGTCGTGCCCCTTCCAAACTTATTATGGTGACAGGAGGCAACGAAGCAAAGATGACTGTACTTCCAAGTTAGCAGTGTTTGCTTATATCCCACCATAGCGAACTAGCCACATTTCCGCCGAGGCCATCATTGATTTCAACACTACTATTACTAAGAGTGGGCTAGCTTTCGGCGTTTAAAAAAATATAGCTGATCAAGTCAACAATAGGAGTGGGCTATCTTTCGAGGGTGAGGCATCTCTCGGGATTTTACGGTATACTCCATCTCGCCACTTGCGCGCAGTGCTGTCTAAGCCATCGGTAGGAGAAAGGAAAGCCCGTCGCTCTGGATGGATCGAACGGGCCGTAGTGTTTGCTCTTTGCCGAGTTATGGTGGAACATGGTATAGAACATAATTACGAAGACCTCCGGGACCGAAACGGTAGAAGGACAGCACAAATACAAAGTCCCAAACTCAGCTGAAATTTATTCGACGGGAGATTGCTTAAAGGTGCGGCGCAACAACACTGGGTTTAAACGATTTCCCCTTTACGCAGCTTGCTGGCACTATACTCCGTGTCACTAGTTGCATGCAGTACAGACGAAGGCAGCGCCGGGCAAGAGGAGAAAGGGTAAACACTAGGAAGGCTGGGGAGAAGGAGAGTAACCTCCTCTCCTCTCTAACGTTTTTAGTGCTCTTTCTTTTTCCCCTCGCTCTCCTCTCCCGTCACGCCTTCCTAATGCTCGCCCCTTCTCTCTTCACGTGGCACTGCGTTCGCCTGCGCTGCACAGAACCAGTGACACGAACTTTAGTGTGACCTGAGAAGACTCGCACGAAACGCATCTGACCCGGGATTTTCCTTGTTGCAGTGTAATTTCGTGGAAAAGAGCAGACTTTTTCCTTCATTTACCTCTTCGTGAAACATGATCACATACCATATTTACTTGATCCTAGGGTGACCGCGTTCGTTAACGCAGGGGCAACTTTGCACATTGCCCCGCGGAAAAAAATAAAGCTACGAACGTAATGCGAGGCTAAGTGGGGAAAAATTAACACTACGGTACTTTACTCCATTTGCTCGGAACACCTGCGAAAGTTCCGAAACAAACCCACACGCTACCAACCGGACCATTTAAACTTAAAGACCACCGAGCCAGTTGAATTCACCCTAACGTCAAGTACGGAGGTTAACACCACGAGAATCGCATAGACGGCCGGTTTTTATGTATTTTAATCTGGATTACATAGTTCACATTTCAAGCATCGCGAAGTATGCGTTGCCAGCACTAGAATGAAAACCGCGGGTACCCAAAAGGTTGCAGTTGTTAAGGTTGCAGTTGTTTCAAAATGGCGGCACCGATCGGGTTATTTTTGCGGACATTCGATTATGACGCAGGAATCAACTTTAAAACACAAAATTAAAAAAAAATCTTCAGGTTACATTTAGTTAGTTACGGTAGTCACGGGCACTGCAGTTTCGTCACGGTCATGGGGGTTGGCGATATCTGAATGTGGCTAATAGATTCGACATGAGCACCATGTTAACACTCGATTCGGGCTCGTGATGATCAATGCCTCAACAAGCATTCCAGCAGTGGCTTCTGTCCAGTCGCTGCAATAAGGGCCAAACTTTAACGATGCCCGAAACTCGGCCCATGCCCTCCACAATGTCAAAATCAGCGCGTGGCCGTGATATGAACACTGGCGTCATGTTATTAGTGCCTGGCCACCGTTTGTTCCGACTGCAAGTTGGAATAATTGCTGCTCGTTTCTCCCTAATTTTTTTCTGCAATTGCCACTGCTTAGAGAGAAAACCGAATGCATGTTGTGTAGGTTATGAAAGTAGAGGATTGATTGTGATTGGTTTCAATATCTCCACTCTAAATGGAGAAGTCGTTGCATTGCCTCTTCATTAAGTACAGTCAAATCTCGTTAATTCAAACTCGAGGTGGACCAAAAATTTGTTTTAATAAAGCAAAGTTTTGAATTACCAGGAGTTTGATTTACCGGGACATGGGACCTGCATGTTAGTTTGATATATCCACAAGCGTGAATTAAGAGAGTTTGAATTAACGAGATTCTACTGTAGTACCCAAACACAAAAAAGACACGAAGAAATGAAATAAAAACAGTACACTAAAACCACCCTCTTTACAGAAACAAATGAAAGATGCATTACATTAACCAAAAAAAAAAAGGTTCTCCTTATTTTGCTAAATTTATACCAGCTTGCTTGCGCTCTTATTTTTGTTCAACTACTAGACCGGCACTGCAAACACCGACACCAAGCAGATCACCGACAATTAATCGCTGATGAGTGATTTCATAATGGCATTAGTAGACCTACATGAAGTTACTATTACGGGGACAGTTCGATTGCTTTTCTGAGAGAACAAAACTGCTGGAAATCATTATTCTCAGTTGTCTTGTTCTTGGTTAAAGGCTGACATCCACTTTGCACTTTCTACTCTTGACCAAGGTTGTATGTCAGTCTTTAACCCTTTGTGATCACAGGTCAGGCATGGCTCAACATTGGAGAAACGCGTTTCCGGTCAGTTGTTGGATGTCGCCCGACACGCGACTGCCGCTCTCGTTTAAACTTATTCCTCCGTGCTTTTTGACTGGGTTGGTGGCGCCATCTCTCAGCACGTTTCTTTAACACTTCATTGTTTCTATAGTTTGAGTTTTTTTCCAATAGAGGGCAGAAGCGCTCGTGAGCGGTGGAGGCGCGGGCCGTTTCGAATTTCGCTGGCTGGAAAAAAACATGGCAGCGTTAGCGCCACGCTCCTTTTATGGAAACTCATCGCATGATTTCGTGGAGAGTGATGGCGATTTTAGTGAAGAGGACAATAATGTGCCTCCATCAGACGACGATGAAACCTCCTCTGCTGACTGCATTGACAGTAGCGACGAAGAAGTGAGCGTACCAGACAACAACAGTGGACCCTCATCTCCACGTACACCAGCGTTGTCCTCGTGGACTGCCAACACACACAATCTCCCAGACTTCCCTGGTGTAGCGTTCACCATTCAACCCTGGACCACAGGTGGGATCATCAAATCTCGGCTCCGAACTTCAGTTTTTTCAGTTATTTTTTACTGATGAACTCATAGAAGAAATTGTCCAAGAAACGAACCGGCATGCCCAAGAGAAAATTTCGTCCATGGATTCGCTCACTGAGCAATCGATATAGAAAAGTTGGGAAGACACTTCTGTAGAAGAGTTTAAGGTTTTCCTCGGTGTTCTCATGAACATGGCCCTCAATCCCAAGCCGGACATCGAGGAATATTTTAGCCAAGAAATTTTGAAGAAGATGCCATTTTTTCCCGCTGTGTTCACTCGCACACGATTTCTGCAGATATTTTGGATGCTGCACGTCTCTCCACCTCCACAGGGTCCCTCGCACCAGCCGACACGAGGTAGCAAGGTGAGGAACATTGTGAACTACATCGACACGAAATACCGTGAGCATTTCAAGCCCGGTCCAAAGATTTGTGTCGATGAGAGTACAGTTGGCTTCAAGGGCAGGGTCTCATTCAAATGCTACAACCCGTAGAAACCAACTAAGTGGGGCCTCCGTGTCTATGTACTCGCCGACTGTAGAACAGGTTACGTGTCAGTATTTCAGCCCTACTACTGTAGCACGACAACAGAGAGCCTCTGCCGGCCAGACCTCCCCTTCACATGTCGGACCGTCCTGCACCTCCTCGAAAAAGTGCAATGCACTTCACTCGGAAGCAGGTACCCCCTCTATACGGACAGGCTTTACACGTCCCCACAACTGGCTGAGAAGCTGCTCTCTCAGGACGTTATGCTCACTGGCAACGTCATGACCAACAGGAAGCAAATGCCCCAGCAGCTAAATAAGATGAAGAAGGGTGACGTGGCAGCGTATCAAAAGGGTGACTCATACATGGCCCTGGCTTGGCAAGATAAGTGCCAAGTTACAGTGCTGAGCTCAGCACACAATCCCTCGACGAAGCCTGTGACAAGGAAACAAGCACACGGCCAAGCTGTGACACTGGACAAGCCAGTAGGCATTTGTGACTTTACAGAAAACATGGGAGCTGTTGATCGAGCCGACCACTACTGCACGAGTTACGCATTCTGCCGCAAGTCCCTCAAGGGGTGGAGGAAGCTTTTCTTTTGGATCCTTGAGGTTGCCATCGTCAATAGCTTCCAGCTAATGCAGATGCAACAGGCTGCTCAGAGACTGAAGGGGCAAAGGCACCCCCAGTACCGCCATAAGCTGATCGAACAGCTGGTCGGGGACTTGCGAGTGCGACCCAAGAAAAGAAGACGGGCATCACAATCCGACACTGAGGAGAGATTAGATGGAAGGCAGCACTTCATATACAAGCTACAAGAACGTACCAGCAAAGACTGCACAGCGTGCCCCAATCGAAAGACGAAAGGAGGCAGAAGTGGATAATTTTTCTACAGCAAGACTTGGACAAAGAACCCCGGTCTGCACCCCGGAGAATGCTCAGAAAAATAACACACTTTGTCGGAGTATCGCTAGAGAGCACAGGAACGCAGAAGCACTTCGAAAATAAATATTTCTTGTTACCTCTGTATGCTGCAGTAATTTTTCGTTCTTCTGGCTAATGCGCCCAAAATAATATCTGACCGGAACCACCGTCAAGTTGGTCAGACTGGAACCACCGTCAAGTTGGTCAGACTATCTGACCGCAAAGGGTAAAGAAATCTGCACTTCCGGCAATCTTTTCCATGTGCAATTTTCAAATCACGGAAAAAATATGCAGAAACTGGTCAAATAATA